CCACCATGCCGACACCCGCCACTCAAGGCGAGCGGGGTTCGCTGATGGGTGCTGGTTCACCCGTTCCATCGCTTGACCTACGTCGGCCGTATGGTCAATTTGGGGCAGAGAATTCTATCCCTGGTCTAGATATTGATCCGCCGACTTCGAGCCATGAAGGGACCAGCAAACGCGGACGTTCGGATTCTCACCAGGGCAGCGTTCGCGGCGAAGGAATTGGTGGCTGGATCTCAAACATGGTCGGTCGAAACCGAGGAGCGGGCCCCAGCGCTACTAGCAGTCAATATAGACGTTTGGAGCAAGGAGAAGGAGACGAGCAATGAAAAGGCTACGGATAATTGTGGCCTCGGGCTGAACAAAGGAAGCAAGAAAGACCAAAGAATTCGATGTTATATATTCTCCTTTCCCTATTTACCAATGTCTTCTGTTGATTTCGTTGTGTTCACGTTCGCGGTACATAGGTTTTATGTATAGTATCCTTATCTATATACATTTTATGTATGTATATGTATGTATGATATCTACCAGTAGCATCCATGGATATAAATGGCCTCCTGTAAATACAACATACCTATGTCACTACAGAGTATGCACTATGTACGTAAGTTTTGAAAATACCATAACCATGAACGGATATTTCTAGTATGTATATTAATAGTATATTTATAGTGTACGGAGTAGGTATGTAGGTAAGGTACCGATGTTGGAACTGGGAATTACAAGGGCCATGTTCTGAAAACGGCCCGCTAAAAGTGGACTTTGTTTATCCTCCTTGAGGCCACGGATCTCACTTTCTCCTTTATTCTCTCAGCCTACTTTCTTGTTTCACTTCATTTCATTTCATTTCATTTTCTTCATTTTTTTTTTTTTTTTTTATCTACTCCTGGCATTGCTTCCGGTCCATCCGTTAGATTTGCCCATTCTATCACTCATTTGCCCAGGGGAATGGCTATGTTCGCTTAAGCTATCCACCTTTCTATTATCGGTCTACCTCGGTATTCCCCAGTTTAACTGCCTACTGTTCTTCCATTCCGTTTGGCACATTTTCTTTTGAAAACACCGCAAGGCACACTATGGCGGGAATAGACACTGCCGTGAGCACGGGCGCCAAACCCGAATCCGACCTTCGTCGAAGAAATGTTCCTGATACTAGCAAACTTCATGTGGACTCAAACCGGATCAATGATGAAGATGTGAAGAAACTTAGAACACAGGTGAGCTAGCCTTTTTCAACATCATGATATACGCTCTTCTAACCCCCCTTGGACAGTCACCCTCGTTCCTCCATGTGCTAGCTAGCTGGGAGCCGATCATTGCCCCCATCATCTTGACTGCCCTCGCCCTCTTCACCCGCCTGTACCAGATCGGTCGTTCCAACATTGTGACATGGGATGAGGCCCACTTCGGTAAATTCGGTTCCCACTATCTCAAACGCGAGTTCTACTTCGATGTCCATCCGCCTTTGGGAAAGATGTTAGTTGGCCTATCCGGGTATCTTGCTGGTTATAATGGGTCTTTTGAATTCAAGTCTGGCGAGAAATATCCAGAAGATGTGAACTATACCTTTATGCGAGCCTTCAATGCTGCCTTTGGTATAGTCTGCATTCCCCTTGCCTACTACACTGCCCGAGAGTTGAACTTCCGTCGAGCCACAGTCTGGTTGATCAGCCTGATGGTGCTGTGTGAGAACTCCTACGCGACAATTTCTCGGTTTATACTTCTTGACTCCATGCTGCTCTGCTTCACATTTACTACCACAATGTGCTGGGCAAGATTCCACCGGTTACAGCGTGATAGCTTTTCACTGGAATGGTATGCCTGGCTTTGTTTGACTGGCTTGAGCATTGGATGTGTCTGCAGTGTCAAATGGGTTGGTTTCTTCTGCACTGCTCTCGTCGGTCTTTATACTATTGATGACCTTTGGAATAAATTTGGCGACCTGAAGATGCCACGGGTGAGTGCCTGCTTTCAGCACCCCCTTCCCGAAAAGTCCTTCACCGATCAGTTGGCTAATATAGATGCGATTGAACAGGCTGTGCTCGCAAAGCACTTGGTAGCTCGTGTTGTGGGATTGATCGTCATTCCAATCTTGGTCTACATGTTTTCCTTTTATCTGCACTTCTTAGTGCTGGCGAACAGTGGTCCAGGTGATGCTCAGATGAGCTCGCTTTTCCAAGCAAATCTACAAGGTACTGAGGTTGGCAGAGACAGCCCTCTTGAGCTTGCGATTGGGTCGCGTATCACACTCAAAAATATGGGCTACGGAGGAGGGCTTCTGCACTCCCACGTTCAAACCTTCCCAGAGGGATCTATGCAGCAGCAAGTCACCTGCTACCACCACAAAGATGCCAACAACGACTGGTTCATCTACCCCAACCGACAGGAGCCGGACTACGATGCCACTGCTGATCTGCGGTTCGTTGGTGATGGCGATGTCATTCGGCTGATCCACGGACAGACAGGTCGCAACCTGCATTCCCACGCTATTCCAGCACCAATCACTAAATCACACCACGAGGTATCATCTTACGGAAATATTACCATTGGCGACGATAAAGACCACTGGAAAGTGGAGGTGGTCGATGATGTTGCATCTCGGGACCGATCTAGGATCCGGACACTCACAACAGCATTCCGACTCCGCCATCCGGTCCTAGGCTGCTATCTGCGGGCAGGAAATGTCAATCTACCCCAATGGGGCTTCAAGCAGATTGAAACAACGTGTACCAAAGAAAACAAACCCGGCGATGTGTATACTCACTGGAATGTTGAGTCTCACACTAACGACCGCTGTAAGCTTATGCCTTTTCCAAAAACTTGATATTGACGAGCCCAATCAGACTTATTGACCTATTCATAGTGCCCCCCGGTGACCCTGGCTCCTATAAATCGCCATTCCTGAAGGACTTCATCCACCTGAATGTGGCCATGATGACCTCCAACAACGCTCTGGTTCCTGATCCTGACAAGCAAGATGACTTGGCTTCCAAGTTTTGGCAATGGCCGATTCTCAATGTCGGCCTGCGCATGTGTTCTTGGGATGATAGTGTTGTCAAATACTATCTCCTAGGAAACCCTCTGGTCTATTGGGGAAGCACTGCGGCTCTTGGTGGATTTGGTCTTCTATTCCTTTGGTACCTTCTGCGCTGGCAGAGGGGGTACAATGATCTCAGCAATGAGGAAATTAGTCACATTCACTACTCTGGTTTGTACCCGGTTATCGGATGGGTGTTGCATTACCTTCCCTTTATCATCATGGCCCGCGTGACTTATGTCCACCATTACTATCCGGCTCTATACTATGCCATCTTGAACTTCGGCTTCTGCATTGATTGGGTGACACGGAAGATGAACCCCAGATTGTCTGCAGTGGTATATGCCTTGCTTTATGTGGTCATTGTCGGGTTGTTCATTCATTTCCGGGCCATCGTGTTTGGAATGGAGGGCTCTAACCAGCAATGGACTCATCTACGCTGGCTACCCGGATGGAAACTGGCGAATGTGAACTAATTATGGATCGCTTGATGGCTTCATGACGTGTTTTCGTCCCCTCTGCTTGTTAACTCGTGTTGACCACCCCAAACTGGATCCTACATCAACACGGATAATTTCAACTTTATTTTCTGTACTTGTAAAGAAAAATGCCATGTTATTAGAGATAGTTGAGTTCTGATTCCAACAGTCCTAGTCACGCTTGGTGCCTGGTAACGATTTAGTGGAATATGAAGATGTGTCGGGGCCATATGCCACTGACTATTTATTATTACGGACTGCGAATTTAGCAACACCCTCCGGTCCAACCGTTGCCACCTTTGCGCATAGCATCATCCATCCCCAATGTGACAGTTCTAGGCACTCCGGTGTTTGCTCCTCCTGAGGCTCCGAATCCTTTCACGCCGCTCCGTCGATCATTGAGGTCGTATTTTCCCGTCTCGATGTTACGATATATTCTCTCGGCAACTTCCAGGAATGCTCGTTCCACACCATCTCCAGATTTGGCGCTCGTTTCAACATAGCGAACCACATTATTCATGCGACACCATTCTTCGGCCTCCTCCTGGGTGACCTGCCTTTGGTTTGATCCAGAACTGGCCCCCGTCAGATCAGTCTTATTACCGACCAGGATGACAACGATGCCATCTTCTGCAATATGCCGTAGATCCTGTAGCCACTGGGTGCAGGAAATAAAGGTCGAGTGCCTGGATATATCAAAGACTAGGAGAGCGCCAGAGGCGCCCCGGAAGTAAGAGCGGGTGATAGACTTGTATGTCTCTTGTCCAGCGGTATCCCACAGGGAGAGTTTCATGCGTTTCTGATTGGGAGAACCTTGTGGTTTTCGTGGAGGGGTAGGAAGTCCGGAGGTGGTAGACGCTTCTGGAAATGTATCACCTGACGATCCGGGAGAAGGCTCATCAAGTCCTAACTCTAATGAAGCTGGAGGACCAACTGGCACAATTCGCGACCCGAACTCGACTCCAATGGTCACATCATGAGATGGGGAAAAGCGGCCTTCACAAAGTCGGACGGTGAGCTATTGTGTTGGGTTAACGTGAGGCACAAGGTCAAAGACCGATAGCACTTACGCTGGACTTGCCAGTGCCAGAGTCACCAATGCAGACAAGCTTAGCAATATAATCCCATGGCTGTGACATGGAGAGAGTAGAAATTTCAAATTCCAGAGTCAAATATGAGCAAAGAAAGCGAAGGTCGGTTTACCAATGTAGGTACGTTTGGAGATATGGATGGTTATCAGCTGAGTCATCTATCAAGCCTGACGTGCCCATATGACGCTTTCATCAGCTGCGTGACCCTATAACATATAGCCCTTTCATTTTTTTATTATTCCCAGTTCTCCTAGATTTGACATATCTCAAACTAAATCCAAAGTTCTTCCTCTCTAATATCCGACCGTACTTGATTTCCTCACCATATTCCCTTTAAGTGATTTATCACTAGTCCTGTCCCACTCACCGTACTTCCTTTTATTGCGATAACGGGCCATGTTCTCTGAATGTAGGAACTGGAAGACCTCTGGGTACTAAATGACTATATGGCTAACACTTCACCTTCACCTTAGATGCCTCAAGATTTCTTGCTCAGTCACAGTCACGAGTAACCTCTCGGCCAGATGAGATTCAAAGAACGGGTCGTAGCCGCCCTAATCAACACCAAGGCAACCCTCGGCACCCCTCATCACGCTCCTTCTTACGACCTAGCGATCCTTATCGACCGGGTGCATCCCAAACATCTCAATTTCCTTTTGCCCCTCGTGGCTCGGTTCAACAAGCTCCCCTGTTCTTCAGTGCCACTGATGAATTCCGAGAGGAGGATGACGAAACAGAACGTGAGCGAGAAATCGCTGATTTCTATGCACTCCAACGATCAAGACGGCATTTTGGCGACAGCAACTTGAAGGAATCTTCTGAACTTGACGATTCTGAGCGTTCAGGTTTCGAGGAGCAAAGCTCACCATATGATGATCGTCCTGGCAAAGGCATCAAGAGCTCATGGCGGGGAGAAGAAGGTGTTTTTAGTGCTCGCCCTTTTCCTATCGAGTCTGTGGCAGAAGCCCCTGAGAATGAACCGGCATCTCTATCCAAACCAAGCAGTAGCAAAGTTCGAGGTCATCTGGTTGATGTCGGTCTGGAGGATTCTTTACGGACCGATCTTGACGATGACCAGGCGTTATCTAGTCCCAGTGCCAGCGATCCACCTGTCCAACGATTCCGAGAACGAGGACTACCGAAGGATCCTTCTGGTCACAGCCAGCATGGACCTACTGTAGAGCAGGCTGAGCTTTTATCACAAGATGCTCGACGGCCGCCCAGCTCAGCAAGCTCATTCCCAGCATCGATATCACCGCTAGCCTCAGAAAACACAGTGCACGACGCCTTTTGGGGCCAGTTGTTTTTGATATCTCTCGCGGGATTGTTTGCTTCTGCATTTCTTGTGTGGCTCCACACATCTACGCCATCTGGGGACAAATCAAGATGGGGCGATACAATATACATGACTGTCCATGGATCTTTCTTCCTCCTCGGGATATATACTATTGTGTCGATTCTTGTGTCCCTTCTTTGGTTGGCTTTACTACGATCCTATGTGCGACTTCTGGTCCATGTGATTCTAGTCGCCGTTCCCATTATCTTATACTCTTTCTCCTTATATCCTTTCATCTCAAGTTTCAAGGGACCATGGCATGGGACGAGTATCCAAGACAAGGCGATGAGATGGGGCTCTGCTGTCCCGTTCCTCGTAGCTACCACGTGGATCTACAATGTTGTGCGTGGCCGTCAGTCCATAGGGAAGGCCATAGGCATTCTTGAGTTTGCCTGTCGAATCTTGGCCGCCAATCCCGAGCTTCTTGCTCTTGGTCTGAGTGCCTTAGTCTGTGTTGTCTCCTGGACATGGATCTGGATGCTGATGTTCACTCGCGTTTTCTTGGGCGGTCATCTCGTTAGCTCAAAATCGTTCATTATTGACGTGGGTAGCTGGTGGCTCGGCATCTATTTCGTTGTTGTTTATCTATGGTCAATCGGTGTCATTGCAGGCATCCAGCGTGCTGTCACTGCTGCGACAGTGAGCCAGTGGTATTTCCATCGTTTAGCCACACCTGCCCCCACCTCGAGGCAAATTGTTCAGGCAGCCATCGTTCACGCTGGCACAACTCTCTTCGGCACGATCTCTTTGTCTAGACTACTGGGCCTATTGGTTCGAGCTCCTCTTCTCTTATTACCAGGTCGCATCTCCTCATTGCTCAGTCTGTTCGCCTATTCGCTCGTCCCCACCCCAATTACTTACTTGACCAATCCTCTTTCTCTCACTTATGCAGCGATTCATTCGCAGCCTCTTGCCGCTTCCTCCCGGGGGTTGAGCCAAATGACTATTCTTGCCCCATCGGCGGCCTCGACGTCTTTACACCCCCATTCCTATTCTCGGTCCCCCGGGGACTCGCAGTCTTTACTTTCATACCGGCTGTCCAAGTTGATCCTCTACGCTGCCCGTTTCATGATGTCCTTGGCCTTAGGATTTGGTGGCTGGGTGACCACTGCTCGGAGCCTGACAACCTCTGCGTCCGGTGGCACCATTCGTGGCAGCCTTTATGCCTACGTCGTCGGCCTCATTGCTGGAACAATTGGCTGGACTACACTGGGTGCAATGGAAGGTGTGATCGCAGATATTGTAGATGCAGCGGTCATTTGCTGGGCAAGCGAAGTCGGTATTTACGGCAGAGAAGCCCGGTATTGCCGTGAGGCTGGTTGGCTCTTTGGTGATTCGCAACCTCGCTTCGGACATGAATATCAAGAGGTCTAACGAAAGGGTGGGGGAGATTTGCCTTTCCGAATCTTCTAAGTCCCTAACTCATGCACCGTCTCTTTGTACAATTGAGCGTTTATAATATTTCCATATGCTTTAGCGAAATTCTTGACTCTCATGTGGTTTTTTCTTTTCTTTTTTTTTTTTTTTTTCAAGAAGACTGGACAAGCAAATATATTCTGCATTTACATTTCGGTGGCAAGTAATACCAAAGCAGCTCTCTGAGAAAGTAATGTATTATTTTGCGTCCCCCATGGTATATTCGAATTGCAAATAGCTACATGAAAATCCAGGGCTCGTGGTATCATGAGAAAATCTAAAGGGAAAGGCAATGACCTGTGGGAAAAGGGGGGGAAAAAAACCAAAAAAAACAAGCCCTCGCCCCTGAGACGCCAGCCAGACGAAGCATATTCCGAGCGACGGAAGAACAAAACAACCAAAAAAAAACCAAAAAAAAAAAAAAGAGACAAATATGAATGATGAATTAGAGACCAAGACGTCCATTCCACTCCACTCGTTCTTTCGAGCACCATTCTTTTAGTAGGGACCAGCCAAACCGAACCACTTCGATTGGTGGCGTAGTACCACCAAGTGGTAGGAAATAGCTTCCAGCATAGTCACCAGCCCTGAGAGATGATCGGCCTCGCTCCGAGTAATTTCGAGATCGCTGGGACCAGATCGTGGGGAACTCACGGCCAAGGACATCTTCAGACAGACCCCGGGTGCCCTCTATCCATAGTCTCTGGGACTCCTTGTAGCACTCAGGAAGACGAGCCTTCATTTCTGAAAATTCTTTCCTGCTTTTCCTGTTCTCATCCAAAAGGGCTGTGTGTCCGTCACTCCCAGGCGTGGGGACCGGGGTGTGCTCTCCAGGAATTGGGCTTATCGCGAGGCGTTCAAGATCGAGAGTGTGAATGGCAGTGAAGGAGACAGCCCCAAGGAGCAAGCAGAGACTGTTCAATGCCGGATATGGTACACTGTTCTTCCTGACTACACGCCAGTATGGCACAATAGACAGCCATGTTGAGGAATCCCCGACCTGGCGTGATGAAGCCTTGGCCTGGTCGTTCGCTACGAACGCCATAATAAATGACAACAACGCTTCGATTGCAGTCACAACCGCTAGCTTTTCGTCAGTGACCGAGGTCCCGGTTTTAGACGTATGTCGCTCTGCAGCATGCTTCAATTCACGACCGATGCCCGCATACTTTTGCCACTCATCCCACCATACCTGCCGCTCATTGCGCGTACGACCATCTGCCTGTGTCGGCGAAGCTTTCATGATTGACCCGGGATCGGCCGAGTGACGTTTGTTGGCGGTATAAGAAGGAGTGCCATCGTTCTCTCCGACATCTTGTCGACGAGAGTTCGGAGGTTTTACGTCTTTCGGGTCTTTCACCGGAGTGATGGAAGCTGCTTTGGGTTTGTCATGGGCGATTGAATGAGAGGTGAAGTGTGGCTGAGGAACCGGCGTTCGAGGCTTTTCGGGGAAGCTTTTCGGATCCTTTGAGCGACCGTATTGAGGGCCAAGGGCTTCACCAGTCTCGTGTTTCTTGCCCTTCGAATCCCCGAATGTGTGCCCACGAGATGAACCGGTATCCCCTCCCTTCTTCCTGGAATGGGAGACATCGTCACGATCGGTATCCTGGCTGACCGGCGAATCCGACAGATGCGCTTTCCTTTTACCAGAAAATTTAAGCAAGGCTTCAACACGTTTTCGGTTCGCTCTTCCGTACCGCAGTTTGGTAAGAAGCTGCGTCCGCTGTGGGTCGGCACGGGCGTGGTCTCTTGAGTATTCATGGGTATGGGATTCTTTGGCAGGCAATCCCTTCCCTGCCCGACTATTGCGAGGTGGTGAACGATCCTCAAGGCGGGCCAACTCCTTTTCGATGTCTGGGGGGAGGGTTGGAGATAGCAAGCGCGGAAGTCTGGGGCCACCCGATGTCGGTGGGAGAGTAGGTGAAAGAAGTGCGGGCAGCTTGGGGGAGTGCGATTTGGTAGGGCTGGGCTCTCGGCGTGTCTCTTTCTCGGGAGACAGTCGCGGTTTCTTTGTAGGATGTGTTTCGGACTTCTTCGTCGCTGAGGTGTTAGAGAACTCAGGTTCCGACCCAGATGGCCGTTTCTGGCCTGCTCTTTCAGGAGAGAGACGCACATGTGACTTCGGCGGCAGTCGAGGCATTTTAGTCTTATCAGTATGCTTGAGAGACTCCGAAGATGTCACCTGTCTTCTTTCTTCAGACTTGGCAGAGCTTGACGCGCCTCGGCTACCCGCTTCGAGGCCAATGGGGGATGCGACAGCGACGCTGGTCTTCTGAGTCTTGTAGTCCTTGAGACTAATTTTCTTTTTGGTCACGGTTTCCCTTGAAATTTCTCCAGCGCTTGGGACTGTTGATCGATCGGCCATCATGCGCCCCGTTTCGTCTGACCAGTCCCCGACAGCTAGAAGCAATGAGTCTGTGTCGTGGTGTGTCAAGAAGGTCATATATTGTAGTTGCTGCTCCTCCAAGCTGAAGGGTCTGTCATGCCCTACAGCCCAATTGTTGGTGGACCGGTTCCCCAGGTTAAAGGGCGTTTTAGTCGGAAATGTGAGCAAATATGGAACGGGGGGAGGACGTCGTCGGAGAGGCGCTGCAATCGTTGGTCAAGCACTTCACGGTCCGAAGTCGGGGAACTTGCAGCTCGGGGGGTTGTAGTGGTTTGGGAATGGCGGTTCTCGTTCACCGACATCGCAGTGCGCAGGGTTTCGCGATTTGTCCTTCCACAAGAGATGCTGGTATCATACGCGCTTCAAGCACTATCACCGAGTTCTGTTTCTCGAGTCGGTGTGGCAAGTTGCCTGGTGATAGTCAACGCATTGAGTCAAGTGAAGGATATTGGATGTACAAGATCCGGCCTTGTTCAGGTACCGAATAATCAGGGCATCCTATCACTATCGCGCGTGGGGGGGGGGTTCCCATAACCCTAGGATTTCGAAGCCGCGCAATTGGCAGGGAGAAATAGACACAGTCGAGGTAACAAAGAAAAAGTGGGATGTGTCACAATGAGAGGGTGACCTCTTTCCATGAAGGAGCGAGAGATGGGAAATGTCCCCGGATAGAATGAAAGAGACAGATGAATTGGAGAAGGTTACGTTAGGTTGGTTACGGTTCCTGTTCCTTATCAGCTTATCGTTACCGTACAATTTCATTACATACAGTACAAGGGTATAAGGTACAAGTGTATAGTTATCCATTGATGAAAATTTGAAGATATAAAAAGGTTCATATACCTATAAACATAGCTATGTATACATGTATGTATATATAGGATGTATATGTCTTTGTCATCTTGATAAGATGTTAGGGAATGAATCTATAAAAGTTTCTTATGCCAGGTTTTGTTCCTGAAGCCTCAACATTCAGGAACGATCATCCTCTGCAAACCTCTCACGCCAGAATGCACGGTAATGGTTCTGCTCTCCTATCTTCGAGATCTCCTCAACCTCTTGAGGTGTCAGTTTTAACGTAAATGTGCGTAAATAGCTGCTTAGGCGGGATTCTTTGCCACTGGTGGTAATAGACACACAGCCACGGTCAATGGTCCAGCGTAACAGGATCTCAGACTGGCTGACTGCATATTTGGTGGCCAAGGAAGAAAGCAGAGGGTCTAATGGCCTACCCTGAGCCCGTGTGGCAGGAGTGGGACCACCATAACTAACAGTCTTGATACCTTTACTTTCTTGGTAAGGAACAAGATTGCCATGTTGAAGGTAAGGATGGAACTCAATTTGATTCACAGATGGTACCACTTTAGCGGCTTCGAGAATCGTCTCCAAGTCACTTCGAAGGAAATTGGACACGCCAATAGACCGGGCCTTCCCAGATGCCTTTACTTGCTCCATAGCAGCCCAGGCAGCTTGAAGCTCTTCCTTGGACTTTGCAAAGAACGGAGAATGGATTAAGTACCTGCTCCAATTGTCAAAAGCGGTTCCCGAGCGAGCCATCAACTCACACCACATTGGAGTTCACTTACAGGTCCACATAGTCAAGCTGGAGCTTCTTGAGACTGGTATCAATGGCCTGAGGAATATCGGCGACATTGATGATGACCTTGGTTGTTACCATGAGTTTCTCTCGAGATACCCCGCTCTCATTGATTGCCTGTCCCAGTTCCTCCTCGGTTTGGTAGATTTCAGCTCCATCGAGGTGGTGATATCCTAGTTTCGTTGCCGTTTTGATTGATTCGACCAATTCACGATTGATACCGGTGTCGGACTTCTTAAACCATGCGGTGCCAGTGCCATATCCAAGCTGAATTTGTTAGAGAACCTTGCCCGTATTCCGAGGGTGTAATGACGGATTGAGTCACGATAGGGATCGAGGTACCATCATTGAGGTCCAATATAGGAATAGATGCAATAGTATTTGCCATGGTTTCAATCTGTGTTTCTGTGTTAAAAAGGACAAATTATACTGTAGGATGATGAAAGGTGTAGGTGGATACCTCGACCTGTCCAGGCTGTACCTCATCTGCCCCATGGGCCCGCGGGCCTGGGCAATGATTAATAATGATCAAGTTATGTCATTTCTAAATCCCGGGAGCTCCCTCTGCATACTTCGTCAATACTTTTAGAACCTTCACTTGAATTCATATTGAATTACTTTAGGTCCCTGTCTATGAACTTCCGCGTGCTTGCGTGTTCAAGAAATTGGTATATGTTTTCACGCAGCTTTCGGCCACCGTCGGTTCGGAATCCATTAAACAAAATGGTATCACATCTTTCAACTGCCGGGGTCTCCCTGGCTGAATTACCGAAATCCAATGTTTTCACTTCTAAATTGCCCTCTGATCCGGCTTTTGAAACACCGGAATCCTCGCATACGGCCCCAAGGGAAACTTTAGGGCCTCGCATGGTCAAAGGAGCTTTGTTCACATACATTCGCCCAGAGCAGACCGATGACCCAGAATTACTGGGAGTCAGTTTGAAAGCGATGAAAGACTTGGGATTCAAACCAGGCGAGGAACAAACATCACGATTCAAGGCACTGGTCGCGGGGAATGAGATTTGGTGGAACGAGGAACAGGGTGGAATCTACCCATGGGCACAGTGTTATGGAGGTCAGTATCGACATCGTCATGCATAAGAAATGCAAAGAGACTAATATGAACAGGGTGGCAATTGTAAGTTACGAAAGGAGCTAGGGATGTAACGTTAACGGCTGACGACATGTAGCGGTTCATGGGCCGGACAACTTGGAGACGGGGTAAGTTAATAAGTTGACATGCAACCAAGTCCTTGGCTCCCTAGACATACTAATGACCGGAAAACTAGCGTGCAATCAGTCTCTTCGAATGTACCAACCCGCAGACAAATACGCGGTATGAGCTGCAACTGAAAGGAGCAGGCAAAACACCCTATTCGCGTTTCGCAGATGGTAAAGCTGTCCTCCGGTCAAGTATCCGTGAATATGTGGTCTCAGAAGGTAAGAAACCTTGCATGAAACTCGAGGACAGACCACTGAAAGATTGCCAGCTCTCTCTGCCCTCGGTATACCAACCACTCGGGCACTCTCACTCACCTTAGTTCCCAATACCAAGGTACTGCGAGAGCGTCTTGAACCAGGAGCAATTGTTGCTCGGTTTGCTGAGAGTTGGCTAAGAATCGGCACTTTTGATCTTCTTCGCGTTCGCGGAGATCGCGAGCTGATCAGAAAGCTAGCGACATATGTCGCAGAAGACGTCTTTGGCGGATGGGAATCCCTTCCCGCAATTGTATCGCTGCGGGACCAGCAGTCTTCCACACAAATCGATAATCCCAAAAGAGGTATTCCTGGTGATCAAGTACAAGAACACCAGGACGTACAAGAAAATCGATTTGCTAGACTGTATCGAGAAATCGCTCGCCGCAATGCTACGACAGTGGCTGCGTGGCAGGCCTACGGCTTCATGAATGGCGTGCTGAACACTGACAACACATCCATTTACGGCTTGTCGCTGGACTATGGCCCGTTTGCGTTCATGGACAACTTTGATCCCCAGTACACTCCGAACCATGATGACCACATGCTGCGATACGCCTATCGCAACCAACCCAGCATCATCTGGTGGAATCTGGTCCGACTCGGGGAGTCACTAGGCGAGTTGATCGGGGCTGGAAATCGGGTTGACGACAAGAGCTTCGTTAACGATGGGGTGACAGAGGAGTTTGAACCTGAACTCGTCAAACGCGCGGAGAAGATTATTGAGCGTGTGGGTGAGGAGTTCAAAGCAGTATTCCTAAACGAATACAAGCGCTTGATGGGCCAAAGGCTAGGACTGAAAACACAAGCCGAGTCAGATTTCCAAACTCTTTTTTCAGAGATGCTTGACACACTCGAAGCACTCGAACTAGACTTCAACCACTTCTTCCGTCGGCTTTCGGGGATGCCACTGTCTAATCTGGATACCGAAGAAGGCCGAAGGGAAGCAGCCTCGGTCTTCTTCCACGCTGAAGGTTTCGGTGGGATTGGATACACCGAGGCTACAGCTAGAGATCGTATTGCGAAATGGCTGGATAGTTGGCGGCTTCGCGTCCTAGAGGACTGGGGCCCCGCAAACGACGAGGAAAGACAAAAGGCCATGAAATCCGTCAACCCGAATGTAAGTACTGGTTGAAACCTTGTTTATTTTTTTCTCTTTTGAAGTCCGGTGCAGATTGAATAATCCATTGATAGTTTGTGCCTCGAGGGTGGATTCTCGACGAGGTCATCGAGCGTGTGGAGCGCAAGGGAGACCGAGATATTCTTGGCCGGATCATGCATATGTCTTTGAACCCGTTCAACGATAGATGGGATCTTCACAGGGAAGAGGAAGAGCGTTTCTGTGGGGATGTTCCCAAGTACAAGAGGGCTATGATGTGCAGTTGCAGTTCGTAACAAGCTACGAGCGCTATGCGGATCCCAACTCTCCAGGAGCGAAGGTATGATATGATTTTCAAAAGGAATCAGAACCGATTTGAGCTACATAGTAAATGCGCCGACTCCCCCACGAGATAGGCCGGGAGGATTTAAAACGTGCAAATACTCGTATATGTCAGGCTCCCCTACTTCACATTTTATACGCGTTATCATACAACCCGGGAAAATTACCAAACAACCTAGATAAGAGGCATCAAAAGTTAGACCATGTCAACCTTGTCAGTTGTTGATCTCTAATCATACATTTTCAGGGGAAAAAAGAGAAATTCGTTTCGTGCATGCATGAAAAATGTCCAATCCCATGGAAACTGTAGAAAGATGTTGACCAAAAGAGCAATGCAAGCAATGGGTAATGAACACCTTAGTTAGGGCAAGCGGACTGAACGTGACCGGGCTGCTTGCACTTGTAGCACATGCGCTCACCCTTGGCCTCGGTGGGGCAGTCGCGAGAGACGTGACCGACTTCGCCGCCTAATGATGAGTTAGTAGCAGATTCCAGACAAAATGAGACACACTCGAGAAGAGACACCCGAGATCACTGACAGTTGTAGCACTTCTGACCCTGAGTGCAGTCACGGGCCATGTGGCCGAAGCCACCGCAGGAGTAGCAGGTCTGTTGACGACCACCGGCACCACCAGGGCCACCGAAACCACCACCGTATCCGCCAGCGCTGTAACCACCGCCGTAGTTACCACCCTGAGAGCAGTTGCGCGCAATGTGGCCGACTTGTCCGCACTTGTAACACTCCTGGGAACCACCACCGCTGTAGTTGCTGTCGCCACCCTGGGGGCATTCGCGAGAAAGGTGTCCGGTCTGGCCGCAACGGTAGCACGTCTTCTCCTTGGCAGGTTCCTGGCATTCACGGCCTTTTTTGAAAGGTTAGTCCAGTCCAGAGGTTGCGAGCTTCAACTTCAACTTACTCAAGTGACCTTGGCCTGTAATTGTGATTGACTTGATTAGCAAAGTTCTAAAAACCCATCCAAATGTCTAATGGACGATTTTGGGATGAGCATACCGTTGCAGTTGTAGCTATTGGAAGACTGGATTAGCTTTTTGAATTGACAAATCCAAGGTGAAGGGGAATTACCAGGTAGGGTTTCCCTTCTTAGGGCAGTCCTTGGCCTATACAAAGAGCGGATAAGCTTCAGGTTCTTCTTTTTTTTTTCCTTTTCGTTCAAATTTTCAGAGGAAAGTTAGACAAAGGTTGTATTTACCTGGTGGGAGGCCTCGCCGCCTATGAAGGAAGAGTGTTAGTTATAAAATATATATAAAAATATATATATAAAAAAAACAGGCAGGCAAGAGGCAATAGAAGTCACAAGAGAGTATCCATATCCAATTCGAATGCCACACAGGCTTCATAGCGAATATGACGTATTCACACTGAATTAAAATGACTCCCAGTTGAGGAAAAAGAACATACAGTTGAAGCAGCCACCACGTCCAGCAGGGGGGAAGTCCATAATTGAATATTTGAATATTGGGTGGGAGAGGTTTATAAGAAAAGAAAGGGAATCAAAAAGGTCAAGTAAAAATGAAGAGTCTGCAAAAAAAAAAAAAAAAGTAAGTAATATTGTAGTGCGGGGAGAAATCTTCCCGCAAAAGCTGACCGCCCTGAGAGACATGGGTTATATCTTCTGTCCTTTTTCTTCATCTTCTTCTTCTTCTTCATCAGTAATGCCTTTGTCTTATGTCCCAGTTTCCTTATATAGAAGTCATGGATTCAGAAAATCCCTGTTTGCCTGTCCCTCTTATCCATTTTGATGGGGGAAAAAAGAGGGTTCTCAAATCTCTTAAGGTGTAATGGATTGAGAATAGAAGGGGAAAAAGAGAACCAAAATTTCAGGGTCCCCCGACTCTTATATAGGGAACCCCTGTCCTGCCAGGGTCCCCAGTCACAGGGTTGAGTACCTTGTGCTACATGCCCACACACATCAACAGGTTTAGGCTTATGCAAAGTTCAAAAGTTACCTAGGGACTGGTTCTTTCTTTTTCCCACTGTTATTGGCATATCTTGACATATATGTATATCCATAGATATACTCTGTGTCAGGTAAAGTCGTAACACTCGAGTAGTTGTGTTCCGGTCTTTTCTCGAAGGAGAAGTACCCGTTCTTCGTCGAATCCGATAGGCAGGGTCAATTCCTCGGATTCCACATTTGCACCGTTCAAATCGTGGTAGATCGTTCCTAGTCCAGGCTCGGGCTCGGGCTCCTCATCCTTGTTTTCAGCGTTGAGCTGAACACCGTGCTCCTCGAAAAATTTGCGGCCCAGGGATGATATCGCCATCTCCAACTCCCATATTCGAATCTCATCTCCTCGAGAGCTCACAGAGACAGCTTTCCCGCGGTTGGTCACGTGGACAGCAGATACGGAAGAGGTATGGCCCCAAAGTCGCCGGCCGCCTTGGACAAACAGAGATTCCAATGTAGATACCACAAGGTACATAGTCAACGTGTTGTCGGCATGAGAAGTCAGCAAATACGGATGGGAATAGGACATGGAGGTTGGCGGTTGTTGATGTATGATAGACGGTGCCCCAGGGTCGATACGAAGTTGATCCCCGACCGACCCGGCTGCAGAATGTCGCCTTTTTCTGGATTGAAGTGGCCTCAACCCAAATTGGGAATCCACTGTAGTAGCCAGTCGGGAATTAAGTTGTTGTCCGTCTTTGCCTAGACGTAATTCTTGAATCCCTAGAGACCACCCACAGCCAATGTGGAAGAAACTATACACAACAGTAGCCACAATTTCAAAGGATGCCACCCTAAGAGATACTGTCATAGGTGCAACAATGTTATCTGCCTTGAGGGAGGCAACCTGGCGGGGCCCCGAGGCCTCGGCGGTTTCCCCTGCTCGATGGGTGCCAGGTTGCAGATTGTACAAGGTCAGAACTTTGTGCTGGGACACTATCATTAAATACGGCAACGAGAGGGCCATTGCCGTTATAGCAGAATCACTGCAGCCGACATGAGAGGACTGCAATTCTAGCTGGGACGTTTGAAGATTTAAGACGAAGAGGCTGAAGTGACCATTTTCCAGACCGACTGAGATCTCTATCTTATCTTGGATCTGGCTGACCGCCAAGGCGGTTGGAGTCAGAGGGAATGATTTTGATGGAGCCAATAAAGGAATTCTTGCAAGACAGCATGCTGAATCTCTCGTGGTCCAAGCCCGGAGCCCGTGCGCTGAATCTGCGGTGAAGACAATCCCAGCACAAAATCTGACTAGCGTAGGAGGGCATGGTGGCTGAGGAAACTCTACCTCAGTGAACCGGCATAGCCCTTTGGACCAATTATGCCGGAGCCGATACTGCCGTTTCCAATTGCCCTCTTGTGCCAAATGCCCATGATCGAACCATGTTGCGACCTTGGGCGAATAATCAGTCTTTGCTGGAAGGGTTGTGCGTCTAGTATTTGCGAGGCGGCGGGCACGGGGCCGCACCCATTCCGAGTAATATTGCCTTTTCCATATCTCAGAGTCCCCGCCAAGAGCATAGAAGCGATGCGATAACCTGGTTGAGGTAGCAAGTCAGCGAAACCGCCAAGGACCGAGGATAATAGGAGTATATATACCTTTGACACACGCTAAGGGATGATACTGGTAAAAATGAAAGGATATGGAGGAGCAACTCATTGCTCAGACGAGACAGACGATCAATAGGCCCAATATCGTTCCGAGTACGGGTCCGCTTTTGCGATAGATCGGAGTCCCAGTGGTCTCTGCACCGTTTGGACATCCTGTCTCAGGATTTAACGAAAAGAGAAACTTGCAAGCAGACTAGTTAAATCAATCGGAGAAATCATTCCGCACGCTCGGAGGGACACAGTGGTTGAAAGCGGAGGGATAATTGCAGGTGGAGCCGGCGTAGAGCCACCAGGGAATCTTATCAGTAAGTGATAAGCTCACGTGTGCCTGTTTGGCCACGACGCGTCGCGTTTGTTCGCTCTGCCTGACTAGAACGTCTACAACTTGGGGGTTCTTTTCTTTTTTACTTTCCTTCTCTCATGATTCATGTCATTTTCCTCGATGGTACACTAGAAACCTCACAATGGAAGTGATCAAGGAGCTCCACGTTGCTGTGGCAAATGCCTGTGATGCCTCCTTTGACAATGCCTACAAACACATGAAATCCCATATTGATGCACACGCCAAAGAGGCAGAAATTAAAGAATCAATAGCCAGTCAAGCTCAGCGGCGGTCAGAGACCAGAATTCGAGAGCTTGAGCATGATATCACGGTACTCCGGAGTGAGCTGCAACAATATGAAATGGATCCACGGGATCTTGAACTTCCCGGGAAATATGCCAATCTAGAGACCGAATTTGACCCGAAGTATCTGTGGGGAGGTGACCTGGATGATGGTGATGATCACCGCGCTGCTCGGAAGTCTCGGAAAAGGGTTGAGGCCAAATACACCGCGCTTTATACAAATTTACAGACATTCATCCAAACTTGGAGTAGTCTCAAATCCCGCGTGTTGCAGCATAAAAAGAAGTTACGGCGATGGGATCAACAATTAGAGCGTGGAGAATTCTCGCTTGTTCTCAATGGCCAACCCGTCACGTTCCGCAGACTGGAAAGTCCCAACCCTGAGGATGTCGACGAAGAACACTCGAAGGCCCAAGGCTTTTCAAAGAAACGTTCAAGAGAAGAGTGTCCAGATATTCCCACCAAGGCCATCAGGTTGCGAAGGTCCCGTGCAGATGATGTGCATGCAGATATAAAAGTTGAAGATGATAGCCAAAGACTAATTCATGGCCTAATATCGGAGTCGGCTTCCATCCAGTCTAGCTCTCCTAGACCCGATATGGAACCCTCGGAATCTTCTGGTACAACATGTCTCTTATCTGATGCCCGCCAGAAGCAGACTCGGCAGGGGCTTTTCACAACCTTTCCCGACAAACATCTCGAGCATACTCAGCCGGCGGTCACCAGATCGGAGCGCCCTACACTTGTCAAAAATGAGATCTTGTCCTCGAGTCCAGGCCGAGGTTCAATGCACAACAGTGAACAGCAATTTGTAAGCACGCAAGATCTCGATGAGATAGGAGACAGGATAAGCACACCAATCAAACGGAAAGCCTACCGGGATGTCAATAATGTAGACGCTTGGAATTCAGAGAACGATACAAACAATGCACGTCACTCAAAGCGAATTACAATCGGCCAGCAAACATCCCAACAGTCATCTGTACTCCAACCAGTTGATGGCAACACACGCAGGGCCACATTATCTGCATTGGGGTCTTCCACAAAACGCCTTCAAGATCTAGAGCGACGCGCAATACCAGCTCTGGCAGAAGATGGTGACGATGCGATATCCTTATGGACGTCTTCGAAAATCGGCTCCGGTGTCGATCTTGGATCTTCGGGAGCAAAGGCAAATGGTGAGTCTGCACAGGGACGTCTAGAAAATCTTCTAGAACGATCGGTACCTTCCAAATCGCCACTTCATTTGTCGAGCAGAGTCTCCGGCCCAGACCAAACAAGGGCGACCGATACACCGCACAGTGATCAAACAACACCCAAGATGTCAAGTCAAATGTTTCCAGACATAGACCCCGATGATGAACCATTCAGGGCAAGACCTCTTCGTCGTCTTGGGTTGGGACATTTCAAAATCAACCCAGCTAGAAATCAAGGGCTTGATTACGCATATAATGCAGTTGTCCGAAAGAAGGATGACCGCAAATGCCTATCAGGTTGCACTCGCCCGGGATGTTGTGGGGATCGGTTCCGAGCCATGGCCCGCCTTGGGGGTCTCCCCGGTAAATCTGGAGCAGAACAAGAGGAAGAAGATCAGGCAGTTCTCGAGGAGTTTGTCGGAGAAGACACACAATTGCTTCGAAACTTGAGTGGCAAAGAGCGTGAAAATCTCCTGGTGGAAGCGAGAGCCAGGGCGCTGGCCAACCAGTATGGACGACATCGGCATACTCACCAACGAGCTCAATCCCCTCCTGGCTTCTGGAGGACTGATATGCCAGATACACAAGAGGAGGAGGACGATCTTGAAGCTGCCAAGAGGTTGGAGCGTGAGAGAGTGGAAGAGCGATATCGAGAGGCTATGCGCCCTGGGGGGTTATGGACATGGGCGGATGAATAAGATTTACATATTTCTATCCTCATGTATGACCTGTTCGATATTATTCTATGGTTGGAAACACATCATAAAAGTTACCACGAACCGTCAGTTCAATTGTAATGCATGGATCTAAGTATGTATGGATGAAAAGGCCAAAAGCATCAACCTCGGCCCAAGGCATCTTGGCGGACACGAAACCACGTGCCCCCCTGTAACCTCCCGAGATCACCCTCCCCCGGATCTCATCCCCCTCCGTCACAGCTATCTCAACATGCTTGCAGCTTAAAGATGGAAACTGTTCGCAATATTCAGAATCCAATACCTCCGGTGCTCTTGCAACCATCCAAATGGCTTTCTATCTATGAAGACTTCGTGACCAAGAACGCTAGCTCGGTTGGTCAAGTCGAGTCGGCGCTGAGATCTTTGACTTATATTATCCCAGGTGAGTTCTCATTCGGTTTGATCATGCCGTTGTTGAAGAATCTAACAAATACCTTCTATCAGGGCGATACCGCGAATCAGAAATACCATCAGAATGTGGTTAGTGTAACATTGTACTTGCCTGTGAGCGCGTCTACTGATACCCCCCTGCAGTGCACTCTAGTGTCCAGTTGTTATCGTTATACCATGACTCTCTTGTTTCGCGAGTTGTTGATAGGCTTCCATCGACTGTACCCCGGCCGCCGCCCACTCCCCACTCCCGGTATACCAAATACTGGACCTCTCGCTCCTCGCTCTATCACCAAGTAGCGCTTGCGCTACAAATGCTCCAGTATACTGAGCTTCTCTGGGAGATGGCGGCACGGCGGCGCGGCCAGAAAACCCGTTGGCGCGTGGTCATATTTATTGAATTCGCAAAGGCAGTCTGCCGCTTACTTCTTTTGCGATTGACCAACTCCAGACCGCTTGTCAGCCCTCCACTTCCAGAGCGCGAGGTAGATCCAAGAACTACAGAAGAAGAGGAACCACGAAGTGACTGGAACGGAATGGACACTCCTGTCGGCGAGCGGTCTTCAGACTTGAGTTGGACGATGCCTCGCACAGGACTTTCCCTTCCGTCTCTCCCCGACGTAAACGATGTGTCGAACTATCTCATTTCCAAAGTGCTTACAGCAGATGACATCAAACCCCCTAAGACACTCCTCCACCGGGCGACGGGACAAGGGCAATTAGCTGAAGTACTATACATCCTTCGGCCTGTTGTCTACGCAATGGCGATGCAAAAGTGGCGTGGTGATAAGCGAAGCTGGCGGCCATGGGTTATTGGATTTGGGATGGAGTATGGCTGCCGCCAGCTCGCAAAGCGTGACTTCCGTGAACGGGTCGCTGGCGGTCTGCGTGGACTTACAGGGCTTGAGCGAGAGGAGCTGAAGAAGCGTGGATGGTCAATGGGCTGGTGGATGATGCGAGGCGCATTTTATGAAAACATCACCAAGTAAGAACCCCGACTCTGTTCTCTCTGCCTCTCTCTCTCTAGGTTCATCCTTGAATACTGATATTGTGAAACAGGTCGTGGCTGCATAGTTTAACTGGAAAGATGAAAGGCAAGCCATTATTGGACTTGGTGAGCAGTGTTGTGGAGGACTATGAATACCTCTGGGACAACTTCTACTTCTCGACTGCTACACTGTGAATTTCCACAGATGAGCCCAGATCTTTTCACCCATGATACCCATTGTTTCTATGTACGAGTCTTTTTATGCTATTCCATCTTTCGTTTGTTCTCACTCTTGCTTAAGCAAGCACAAGGGGTATCATTAATGTTTTATTAAGGTTCATGTCTAATCACATTACACGGAGCATGAGCATTCAGAGAACCTCAGTTTGCCTGTGGCCATACCAATCCCGTAATCCAACCTTGCCCGTGCTTTTCCCGGAGGCTGATGACAGTAAGAACTCATCCAGCCGAGGTTCCCCTTCCTCCTCTTCGTCGGGCCAGTCGACTCGTGCTCCTCCTTTCATTTCAAGCATCTCCTTCGTGGTGCCCCAGCTGAACCGACACTCGTTGCCCCATCCAAACACAGGGTCCATGTTGCGTCGAAGCCAGCTGACGCACTTGGAGTCCGAGGGATAGCCACTTCCCCAAGTCTCGGGGGTTGGACTAAGTGACTGCTCACCGCGAAGCACGGCCTCGTACATGACTTCCAGTGCAACATCTCGCGTCACCTTGGCTGCCACGCTGGCGGCGCTGACACAGGGATACAGGGAATCGGCTTTCTTTGCCACTGTGATTTTGAGAGATGGGAAAATTCGCTCCAATTTTTGTTGGTATGTGGTGGGGTTCCCAATCGTGTCAATGTATACCTCTCGCACATCCACCCCACGGTCTTCAACAACTCCTCGAATGATCTCCACCGTGGCATCCATGGCCTGAGCGTTCAGATTGTATACTGCGGTGGGTGATCTCATCATGCCAGAAGAGATGTCGCGTGCCGAAAGTACTTTGACCGCGTAGCCGCAGGACTCGAACAACGAGTCTCCTGGTGTATTCAATAGATGCATCAAATTGGCTCGCACAACAGGTGTAAGCACTTTGCTGTCGTCAAAGCTATGTTTTTCAGTCAAAAGCGAGTGGTGGAGATCAAGAGGGAGATAGAAGGCACCGTAGACCATTGGCCCTATGACTGGACCACGGCCAGCTTCATCGACACCCAAGACACATGGTGTACTCTCAACTGTATGATGAATTGTGGGTGAGATCTCTTGGGGCGTGATTGCTTTTGGGCATGGGGTATAGTACGCGTAGGATTCGCCGGAGAGAAGGGGTTCTGAAATCACACTAGGAGGAATAAAGGTAGACGATTCCTTGGGAGGATTGACGGAGGGAGTATCATTTGTCATAATAGGCATATAAAAAATTGAAGAGGGTTAAAGAAAAGAAAGAATAGAAAGAAAAGAAAGTGTCCAGAGTACGAAGGCAAATGTAGAAGATCGAGTGAACGCGTCGACCGTTCGGGATTAGCGGGGGCGCGTGTTGCTCTTCCCGCCTAAATTCCGCATTCCTCCCCTCCACCTTGTGTCTCTGTCTCTTTTGACTACTTTTCTTTGAATCTCTCCTTAATATTTGATTATTCTATCCCGGTGCTCAACTTTCAATATGGCACGAGGGCCCGGAAAGGCCCGCGACTTCGACTACTCCAATGTGGGAACCAAGGGAAGGTGAATATGTCATGGTCAATTTCACTGGACATATATACTGATTGCGTCTAGGCGCACTGGCATATCTCTGAAAGAGGGTCGACGCGACGAACATGGAATGGAAGAAGTAGACGGTCTCTTTTCATCTCCTGAAAAATCCTCTGTGGAGTTGAATGGCTTTGAAGACGTGGAAAATGAATCTTCAGTTGGATCCGAGGGCATGTCAATGGACGAAGGTGGGCCAATACAGTGGCACCTTATATTTTACCGACTCGTTGCGTGCTGATGCAAATCCTATAGGCAATGCGCCAGATCCCATGGATTTCCTCAAAGGCACAAATGGCTCACGTACCTCTTTTCTCCCCCCGCCTGCCGCGCGGTCGCCGATGAAGACTGGCCTCACTGGGTCCCCACGGAGGACTCCAGCGTTGCAATCAACCCCAGACCCGCAGGATCTTGAGTCATCTAGTCCGTCCGATGGCAAAGGCTACCCGGACGCACAGGCAGAATCCCGTCAAGATCCATCTCCTCTTTCCACTCGCTCGGTGAACGTGGGACGCTCGAACCAGAGGAACGGCACACGGCAAAAACTTACTACAAAAGCCCAACTAGCAGCAAAATTTGAGCCCGCAGTCATACATGACTTTTCCGACTTTTCCGACGGCGACGAGAACGCCAATGCATTCACCGCAGTACAACAAAATTTCGGCGACAGTCTGAATGTCGATTCTGATTCAGTTGCTGCAGAGGAACTACCCGATTCTCCCGGGCAAGACCAACACGATCCTGATGATAATTCATCTACGGCTGACACGACTCCGCCTCGGGAAGAACCCGTTGTGGCCTCGAAGTCAACAAAGAAGGCCGCGCCAAAGATCGCCAACGTAGACAAGAATCAGGCGAACCCTCCTGCACCGCGCGGACGTGGAAAGTCTCAGCGCCGTAATGTCGAAGAAGACGTCGACCCCCGACCAACCAAAAAGCGGAACACCAAAGCATCTCCACCGGTGCGTGAACCTTTAGAACCGGAATTGCATCGAGTGGTTGAGAATTACGCCAACCGCACAGGCCCTTTGAAAGGCCGAAGTTTGTATATCCTCAAGCGTGAGAATCCTACCGACAACAGTGCGACTCATACTCGATCCGGGCGGGTTTCGGTCCGACCACTAGCATACTGGCGCAATGAACGGTGCGTCTTCGGTGATGGGGAGGCAGCCGAGGGGCATCGGTACCCTCTTTCAACCATTAAAGAGGTAATTCGCACCGAGGAGCTAGAGCCTGAAAAGAAGAAGAAGGGGAAACGCCCAACGTCTCACAAGTCCAAGTCCAAGAAACAAAAGGATGACTCTTCAGACGAGGATGAGGATGTTGATCTCTGGGAGAAGGAAGGCGGTGTTCTTCATGGCTACACCCTTAAATGGGACGGGAAAACACAGACCAGTTCGAAGGAGGAGGAAGTCCTAGGTATGAACCCTCAAGCCCTTTATAGTTGGTTCCTTTACTAAATCCATATTGATACAGACATTGCATATGCTCCCTCTGGAATCGAAACCAGAGAGGTCAAAGACTCGACATTCCGATTTGCGAAGCTGCTTAGCTCGTCATTCATCGGGTCTGGAGTTGTGGAGCTCCCACCTGATGGAGTCAAGAAACCTAAGAACTCGAAGAAAATGCACATGGTCTTTTATGTCTGTCACGGGCGTGTTCAAGTGGATATCTCAGGTGTCCAGTTTAGTGCCGGAAAGGGTTGTGTTTTCCAAGTTCCTCGCGGTGAGTCTCATTTCCGCTGGCCTCTTGATTCGTATCAGTTAACTGACACCAGGATCCCATCTCTAGGTAACTATTATAGCTTTGCAAACACCCATCAAAAGGAGGCTCGACTT